AGAGGATGCCCAACAAAGGCCAAAGTTTAAGAATCTCCTTGAGTTCATTGAGAAACAAGCACGAGTCATGCTTGACCCTGTTTTTGGAGAAATTCGGTGTTCAGCAGATAACAGAAGAATTCCTAAAACAAAGCCGACTGCAAAACCCAATGTAAGAATGGCCAGTTGGGGGAGCAGTTTTGCCACAGCAGTCAGTACAGGTTCTGAACAATTCAATACTAAATCTAAATTGAATGCCCAGGGAAGACCAATCAATGCCTTCTCAGCTGCTTTTAGGAAATTGTGTGCATTTTGTGGGAAAGATCATGCAATAGGGTTGTGTGACTTGTTCAAACGGAAATCCAACAAAGAAAAGGTGGAGTTTCTGAAAGCCAATGGAATGTGCTTTGGGTGCTTAGGAAAGGGACACATGAACAGCAATTGTCAAAGGTGTTTGATGTGTCAGATTTGTAATACCAATCATCCTACCGTACTTCATATTGATAGAAAAGAAGGTCAAGAAAAATCTAACGAATCAAAAGTTGGTAAAGTTGGATCTAAAGAGTCATCACTGTCCAGTGCCCTAGTTTCCATGGAGGCTGGAAGTCATACTGGGGCCGGCACAAAAAACTGCGCACTCGCTATAGTTCCAGTGAAAGTAAAGTTAAAAAAAGGGAACAAAACTGTACAAACTTACGCCTTTCTCGACCCAGGCAGCTCGGCAACATTTTGCACTGAGCAACTGATGAGATAATTGAATGCTCCTGGGCGAAAGATAGATATACTTTTGAAAGCAATGGGTCAAGAAAAACCAGTTTGTAGTTACAAAATCTCTGGGCTTGAAGTAGCTGCATTAAAGGGAGATACTTACCTGGTATTACCTGATGTGTATACTCAAAGCACAATCCCAGTCACCAAAGATAACATTCCCAAAGTGGAAGACCTAAAAGGGTGGTCTTATTTGAAAGACGTGGATTTAACTCCAGTAGATAATGGCATTGGGTTACTTATTGGAGTAAATGCTCCAAAAGCTTTGGAGCCATGGAGAGTAATTAACAGCGAGGGTAGTGGACTGTACGCTGTAAAAACACTCCTTGGTTGGGTCATTAATGGCCCACTGAGTCTCAACGTGGATGGTGATGTATGGGATACGCCAACAGTTCAAGTCAATCGAATATCCATTGGTAACTTGGAAGAGCTGATAATTAGACAGTATAACCAAGACTTTGTAGAACAGCAGTATGAAAATACTGAAATGTCTGTAAAAGATAAGCAGTTTATGGATATAGTGTCATCTTCTGCCACACTTAAAGATGAGCATTACTACTTGAAATAACCATTTAGTGACGCCAAAGTGAGTATGCCCAATAACAAGCGTATAGCACAGCAAAGAGCACAACACCTTCTGAAAAGGTTTCTGTCATTTTATAAAGAATACAAGGATTTCATGGATGAGGTGCTTGAAAAGGGATATGCAGAGATCATACCTCAAAAAGAGCAGGAGGTAGAACTTGGAAAGGTGTGGTATCTGCCACACCACAGAGTCTATCACCCTCGTAAAGGGAAGCTACGTGTAGTGTTTGATTGTGCAGCCACATTTGGTGGAACATCTCTGAACAAAGAACTCTTGCAAGGCCCAGATCTGACAAACACACTCGTAGGAGTGCTGCTTCGATTCCGTCAAGGCCCAGTTGCTTTCATGTCAGATATTCAGAGTATGTTCCATCAGGTAAGAGTGGCAAAAGAGGATGTCAACTTTTTACGATTTCTATGGTGGCCTAATGGAAATATCAATGCAGAGCTTGCAGAGTACAGAATGCTTGTACACATCTTCGGAGCTGTGTCATCCCCAAGCTGCGTCACGTTTGCTCTTTTGAAGACAGCTGATGATAACCAGAAGGATTATCCAGTCGATGTTATAAGCACAATCAGGCATAATTTCTACGTTGATGACTGCTTAAAATCTGTTAACACGGAGGAACAAGCAGTGGCTCTATATCGACAACTAACCGAAGTATGCACCAAAGGGGGTTTTAGACTCAATAAATGGATAAGCAATAACCGCACACTTTTATCTGCTATCCCTGAAGAGAATAGAGCTAAAGGCGTGAATCAACTTGACCTCAGTAGAGACCAGCTGCCCATGGAAAGAGCCCTTGGCGTTCAATGGAACGTGGAAAGTGACACATTCAGCTTCAGTACTGAAATCAAACCTCACTCTGTGACAAGGCGTGGCATACTGTCCATTGTTAGTTCTCTTTATGATCCCTTAGGCTTTGTAGCCCCAGTCATTCTTCCCGCCAAGCAAATTTTGCAGCAGTTATGCAAACTGAAGTTAGGATGGGATGAGACCATTCCATTGCACATGAGTCAATCTTGGCAGAGATGGCTGGATGATTTGAGTCTATTGAACACTTATAGTGTAAACCGATGCTTCATTCCCAAAGGTTTTGGAGACTTAACACTGGCAGAGTTGCACCACTTCTGTGACGCCAGCGAAACTGGATTTGGTGCTGTGTCTTACCTGCGAATTTCGAACAGTAGTGGTGAACACAATGCAACATTCGTCATGGGAAAAGCAAAAGTAGCACCTTTAAAGCAAACAACTATACAGAGACTGGAGCTTGCCGCTACCGTCTTAGCTGTGTGTCTTGACAAATTACTGAAAACAGAATTGCAACTTCAGTTAAACGAATCTACATTTTGGTCAGACAGCACAACAGTTCTAAGTTACATCACAAACACTACAAGGATATTCAAAACCTTTGTGGCAAACAGAGTGTCATTCATCCAGTCTCTTTCAGCAACAACTAATTGGAGACACATTAGTTCCAAGTTGAATCCTGCGGATGCAGCTTCCCGAGGCATGAGGGTTGATGTCTTTCTAAAGTTTAAAATCTGGATTAATGGCCCTGATTTTCTTTCCCAACCACAGTCGCAGTGGCCGGGTACTGTACCAGTAAGAGCCATCCAGGATGATGATCCAGAAGTGAGAAACGAGATTACTGCAAATACAATCATGGTAAAACCAGACAAATGTCCCACCAGCAAACTCCTGAATTATTTCTCCAAATGGGTAACCCTCAAAAGGACAGTAGCATGGATATTGAAGTTCATGAAAATTCTTCAACAACGGGTAAAAGAAAAAAAGCAAGCTAAACTTCCTCCCGTTACTGACAAAGATGTTGTACCAAAGGATGAATTGCAATGTTTAAACCCTGCCGTATCAGGACTTTCTGTTGAGAACTTGATACAAGCAGAGAGAGGAATTGTGCGCTTTGTTCAGAGACAGTTTTTTAAAGACGACATTACTGCACTAGTCAAAGGTAATGTGAAGAAATCAAGCCACTTGTACAAACTGGATCCAGTGATTGTGGATGGATTGCTAAGAGTAGGTGGCAGGCTTAGTAAATCAGCCTTACCCATTGAAACAAAGCACCCTGCAATTTTGCCCAAATCCAGTCATATGACAAATCTCATTCTGCGCCATGTACATGAAAAAGTTGGTCACTGAGGAAGGAATCACATGTTGTCTACTGTGCGCCGCCAGTACTGGATACCACATGCTAATGCCGCATGCAGAAAGGTCATCAAAGAGTGTATAGTCTGCCAGCGACTATTTCAAAGGCCAGGTGAGCAAAAAATGTCTGATCTTCCTGTTGACAGAATCTCTGCCGACCTTCCTCCTTTCACCTATACTGGAGTGGACTTTTTTGGGCCAATCGAGGTCAAAAGAGGGCGAAGTATCGTGAAGAGGTGTGGTGTCATTTTTACCTGTTTACCATGTCGTGCAGTCCATCTAGAGGTGGCCCATACTCTTGACACTGATTCTTGCATAAATGCAATTCGAAGGTTCATATGTCGCAGAGGGCAAGTCAAAGAAATCAGATCAGATAATGGAACTAACTTTGCTAGTAGTAATCGTGAATTTAATCAAGCTTTAAAAGAACTGAATCAAAATAAAATCCAAAGCTCTCTTGCACAGGAAGGAATAAATTGGACTTTCAACCCGCCTCATGGAGCACATCAAGTTGGAGTCTGGGAGCGTTTGGTACAGGAGGTCAAAAGGGTGCTCTGTTCAGTGGTAAGACAGCAAGTACTAGATGATGAATCCTTGCTTACTGTGCTCTGCGAGGTTGAATCAATCCTGAATGACCGTCCAATAACACTGCCTTCGGATGACCCAAACGACCTTGATGCACTTACCCCAAACCACATTCTTCAACTGAGATCAAACCCAGTTTTGCCTCCAGGACTATTCAAACGGGAGGATCTCTACGTTCGTATACGTTGGAGACAGGTCCAATGCATGGTGGACCTGTTTTGGAAAAGATGGACAAGGGAGTATCTTGTTTTAATGCAGAAGCGGCAAAAGTGGAGTAAAGCATGTCGAAACTTGAATGTAGGGGATTTAGTGCTTGTAATGGATGAAAATGTTCCCAGAAGTTTGTGGCACTTAGGACGTGTAACAAAAGCAATATCAGACTCTAAAGGATTTGTACGACGTGTGTGTGTCAAGACACGCGCAAGTGAGCTGGAACACCCAATTAACAAGCTATGCCTTCTGCTAGAAGGAATTTAGTTCTGATTCTTTTGAGTGGAAAACTTTGACTTTTAACTCACATATACTGACTATACACCTCGCCTTCTCATAACCTACACTGTTCTGCTGAAGTATGCACGCACAACTTTCTACCTTTAAAGAAAAAAGGAAAAACCATATGGACATTATATTAATGAGCTTTTGGAATAGAATAGTGAAACTGCAATGAACTCTATGTACTATATGTGCTGGCTGTGGTTATGAACCATAAATAATGTATGTTGATTGTAAATATTTGATCATGGCTACTTATGATATATTACTATAATTGATTGCAAGACAACAATTAGGGGCCGGTATGTTGTAGCCATTTAAGAAAGTATTTTTATTTTATATTATTTATGTTTAAATATTATTTGTTTGTTCTTTGTTTAGTTAAATTTGCTAATTAAGAAAATTGTAAACGTCATAAGGGCGTGGTGAATTGGACGGCAGGACGCCGGAAGAAAGGAAGTGGGTCAGACATAATTTTTTGACCACTTTGTACGTTTTTGTTTGTAGAATCCCTTTTTTCGAACGAGTTTCGTTTGGTATAATTTGTATCTTAATTTTAATATGTTTTTTGTTGGTCAATTATTTACCTGAATAAATGAGAAGAAAGAATAAGCGTTTCATGGAATGAAGTGCGTTCAAAACAAAGCCCGCTACCATGCTTCCGCGGCCAAAACAAAGGCCGAAACAGTCCCCAATACACAAAATACTGTTCTTTTTAGCAGCATCATATGACCCCTTTAATGACAATATGGGACAAATATAATGTAATTTAGTGGCGGCAGGAGCTGCTGGTACATGTACAGTCAGACAAAACAATGTCCACAGTTATCAAAGACGCGAGTGCGCGTACAGTCGTGGAAAACTATGTGTTCGGCAGTTAAAGACGCAACGAGGCACGTCTGTAGAGTGCGCGTCATAGGAAATGGAAGCGTCTACTCACCCTTCATTGTGTTTGCAGATACTGCCGCTGTCGTTTCCCTCCATCCTCCCCAGCACCACCAGGTTGGCCCCGTCCATGCGGGGGTAGGCTCCGCCCTGCCTTCGTCTTCGGCAGGAATAGCTGGAATCTACAATGTCTGATTCAAGCTACGGATGGGGCCTACGCCAAAATAATTATGTTCTTTGTATTGGTTTTGTAAATAAATACTTTGGAGTTCTATGTTCACCTCCTGAGTCTTTCTGGTAGAACTATTTTCCTGCTCATCTGAACACAATCAAGACAGAACCAATCAATCACAGAGAGCATTCACTCACTGCTGACAGTGCATTCAAAC